ACTATTTGGATCGCTGCTCTGAGAACACAGAGGGATAGAATATATAAACTTGTTCACGGTATAATGGTTACAACGACAATTGTCTAAAGTATTATAAAATGTTTATTACTTTGTAGAAACTCTGGGGCTGGTCCAATAAGTCAAAAAGCAGAGATATCCTACAGAAACTATTTGGATCGCTGCTCTGAGAACACAGAGGGATAGGATATATCAACTTGTTCACAGTATACTGGTTACAACGACAATTGTCTAAAGAATTATAAAATGTTTATTACTTTGTAGAAACTCTGGGGCTGGTCCAATAAGTCAAAAAGCAGAGATATCCTACAGAAACTATTCAGATCGCTGCTCTGAGAACACAGAGGGATAGGATATATCAACTTGTTCACAGTATAATGGTTACCATGACAATTGTCTAAAGTATTATAAAATGTTTATTACTTTGTAGAAAGTCAAAAAGCAGAGATATCCTACAGAAACTATTCGGATCGCTGCTCTGAGAACACAGAGGGATAGGATATATCAACTTGTTCACAGTATAATGGTTACAACGACAATTGTCTAAAGTATTATAAAATGTTTATTACTTTGTAGAAAGTCAAAAAGCAGAGATATCCTACAGAAACTATTCGGATCACTGCTCTGAGAACACTGTGGGATAGAATCTTTACAATACAGTGGTTGCAACAAGAATTGTCTAAAGTACTTTATAAAAGTGAGAGAAAATATACATGATATGTCTGTGTAGAAAGTATAAAGTTGTGTCGTATCCAATAAACTTCCCAGTTACCTCACTTGATGGCCAGGATTTAGAGTTGGTATAGGTGTAAATGCTTATAGACATCCTGTTTCCTATATTACCATGCTTACACAGTACCTAATAAAGGTGTAATTTCCAGTAATATAAATACAGGTTGTTTTGGTTAGACTTAGCCTTCTTGATTGTAACTTGAGAAACAAATTATTCACCAGCAAACTGCAAGTTCAACCAGGTGTTTATGTAAAGATGTTCATTTTCTTGTGTTAAGGTCAGTGCATCAGTGATAGATTCATTTCTTAGACTTTCACAAATTACATACAAGAACTTTTCCTGAATTGCCAAGTCTTTAGTTTTGTATAATTTGTTTGTATTCTACCTCAAAAATAACACAAGTTCTTACTTTGTAAAATACAGTAACATATTGGCTACCATACATTACACAATAAATACTGAAATGTCAGTTATTTTTATTCAAACATAAAATAGTAAATACAGAATATTTGGATAACAACGATCGGAACTACTTATGATGCTACAAAGTTTTTGTTTACACTCGTGAGTGATACTTGCTAAGCCTCGTCCAAATGCACACTACAAAGTCCTTGTTTGCACTTGTGAGTCGTACTTGCTAAGCCTTGTCCAAATTCACATGTGGAGATGGAAAAATAATAATTTTTGTAGAATTTATATAAGCATT